TACTATGAGATCCCATGTCGGTTGGGGAGGAGAAACATCTTTATAAGGGTGTAGAAACATCTTTCTAGCAGACACGTTTTAGGGGAAGTTCGAAAGGGAAAACCCATAGAGGACAATATCTGCTAACGGTGGGCTTGGGTCGTTACAATTGGTATTAGAGCCAGAAGTGAGTGATGTGTCAGCGAGGATGTTGCGCCTCGAAGGGGGGTGGACATGAGGTGGTGTGTCCTTTCCTTTCTCCAATTCGATGTGGGACCCCCACCAAATCCACCCTCTTTTGGGGCCCAGCGTCCTTACTGGCACACCGCCTCGTGTTTACCCCCTTCGGGGAACAGCGAGAAGGCTGGTACATCGTCCGGTGTCTGGCTCTGATATCAATTGTAACCGCCCAGATCTACCACTAGCAGATATTGTCCTCTTCGGGCTTCCCCTCAAGGCTTTAAAACGCGTCTACTAGGGGAAGGTTTCCACTCCCTTATAAAGGGTGTTTTGTTCTCCTCCCCAACCAATGTCGGACATCACAGGTGTGGATTGGGGGGTTCCACATCGATTAGAGAAGAGAATGAGTGCCAACGGGATTTTAGTTGGATTCTTTTAAAAATGAACTTTTGTTATATATTTTTCGTAACTATTGATTTATATATATACATTTTATCTAGGGTTCGTTTCCACTATGGGCATCCAGATGTGTTTGATAGGCTCTTCCATCTAACTAGAGGGGGCGTCAGTAAAGCTTCCAAGGTTATCAATCTGAGTGAAGACATATTTGCTGGTATGCCATGACTTCTCTTAAAGTTCTTCGCAGATGAATTTGGCTTTACCCCAAGTTACTCAAAAGTCTACAAATTTCAGGGTTCAATTCAACTCTTCGTGAAGGCAATGTCACTCATCACGAATACATACAAGTTGGAAAAGGAAGAGATGTGGGCCTTAATCAGATTTCGATGTTTGAAGCAAAAATAGCAAATGGGAACGGCGAGCAGACACTAAGTCGGGATATATACAGGCTTGGACACCGATTCGACTTCTTCCGAATGTTATCGTGTTATTTTACCACTATTGGGTTCTATTTCAGTACAATGGTATGAACCATACTCTGTCTTTCTTCTATATTTGAATGTTGCTTTTATTAATACTCTGATACATATTGATGTGCAGATAACTGTTCTCACGGTATACGTATTCCTTTATGGTCGGCTTTATCTCGTTCTTAGTGGACTCGAAAAAGGTTTGAGCACTCAACCTGCTATTCGAGACAATAAACCTCTGCAAGTGGCGCTCGCTTCTCAATCTTTTGTTCAGATTGGATTCTTGATGGCCTTGCCTATGCTGATGGAGATTGGTTTGGAAAGGGGATTCCGCACTGCATTGAGTGAATTCATATTGATGCAGTTACAACTAGCCCCCGTCTTTTTTACGTTCTCTCTCGGGACAAAAACTCACTATTATGGGAGGACTTTACTTCATGGAGGCGCCAAATATAGGCCTACAGGTCGTGGGTTTGTCGTGTTCCACGCCAAGTTTGCTGATAACTATAGGCTATACTCACGTAGCCACTTTGTTAAAGGTCTTGAGCTCATGGTTTTACTAATCGTATACCAGATTTTCGGGCACACTTACAGAAGTGCATTGGCTTATGTGTTGATTACTGTATCGATGTGGTTTATGGTCGGCACTTGGTTGTTCGCTCCCTTTCTCTTCAATCCTTCTGGTTTCGAGTGGCAAAAGATCGTCGACGATTGGACCGATTGGAACAAATGGATAAGTAATCGTGGTGGAATTGGTGTTCCACCAGAAAAAAGTTGGGAATCGTGGTGGGAGGAAGAACAAGAACATTTACGCCACTCGGGAAAGCGCGGTTTAGTAGCTGAGATATTATTAGCATCTCGATTCTTTATCTATCAGTATGGTCTTGTGTATCATCTTAGCATCACTCAGCGTGCAAATACTAAAAGTTTCTTGGTAAATCCACTTCTTGTTCTATCCATCTTAACAATATGAATATCAAAATTAATTCTTTCCCTATTTGGTCACAGGTTTATGGCGTATCATGGCTCGTAATCTTTCTAATACTGTTCGTAATGAAGGTGAGTTGCTTGGAATTTGTTACTCATCTAGTCCTGCCACATGATTTTCAAAATCTAACTCGATCGTTTTCCGTTCTTCCAGACTGTATCGGTTGGAAGGCGAAAGTTCAGTGCAGATTTTCAACTCGTGTTCCGTCTTATCAAGGGCTTAATATTCCTAACCTTCATCTCTATTCTTGTCACCTTGATTGCCCTTCCTCACATGACACTGCAGGACATCATTGTTTGCATACTTGCTTTCATGCCAACAGGTTGGGGCATGCTTTTGGTAAGTCCAGTCCCCTTGACTCTAATTCCACCCCAAAAACTAAATCTTCCATGTACTTAAACTAATGTTTTTCCAGATCGCTCAAGCATTGAAACCACTCGTCCATCGAGCTGGCTTCTGGGGATCCGTTAGAACACTCGCCCGTGGTTACGAGATCATCATGGGTTTGCTCCTCTTCACTCCGGTTGCATTCCTTGCCTGGTTTCCATTCGTTTCAGAATTTCAAACCCGTATGCTCTTCAACCAAGCGTTCAGCAGAGGTTTGCAGATTTCTCGTATTCTCGGCGGTCATCGGAAGGATCGATCATCCCGAAACAAAGATTAAGAACACTGTAAGACAAACCTTTACCTTATGCCAATTCCTTGATAGCACTTGATGATGCACTGAGGCTTGTTTATATCATTAGGAGTTGTAACCTATGTGTGGGCAGTAGAGTTCAGTAGTAGTGTTTAATGGGCTGCAAATTTTGGTGTTTGTTCATAGTTTATGTTCACACGTCCATTCCCCTAATGAACAAACAATCTTGTATTTAAGGAGGATGATTACTTGTAACACTACTGAATCTTGTTTCCAGCCAGTGTCACTGCCTTGGTTCTTTTGATTTCTTTAAGGTTATTATGTTATTTCTTACCATGTTCTTCATTTTGTTTAGGTTGATATGAATGTGATATTTATCATTCTTTTTGTTTTGTTTGTGTTTTGGATTCACGTAATTATCTAGTTTACTTTTATAAGATGGTTATTAGACGTCGATGATTCAAAAAATCGATGAGCAAGTGGTAGGTTCAAGTAGTTAAGACGGTGATGATCTTATTCAAAATTATATCACCCCATTTTAGTGTTAACTTAAACTTTTTGAAACGAGATTAGTCTGTAAATTCTCGTCGATCATAAAAGTATATTTAAAGTTAGATAGACGGTTCAACTCGATAGAAAATAATTTGTAGTTTTTGAAAGTGTTTTGATAAACCGATAAAATAAAGCAAGGGTGAATGTAAATTTGGAATTTGAGATAAATGAAATTATTCATCGAAAAATGTACTTTTTTGTCATTTTCTCTAAGCAACCTTCGAGGAATTAATAATGTTTTTGTAATCGTTCATATTTAACGTAGTAGATATTATCTTTTTTGGGCTTTTCCTTTTGAGCTTCGTCTCAAGGCTTTAAAATGTGTATGTTAGGGGAAGGTTTCCACACCTTTATAAATAGTGTAATGTTCTTGAAACCTTTATAAATGATGTTTTGTTCTCATCTCCAACCAATGTGGGTCATCACAATCCACCCTCTTTCGGAACCCAGCATCTATATTGGCACATCGCCTCGTGTCTACCCCCTTCGGGGAACAACGAGAAGGCTCTAACACATCGTTTGGTGTCTGGCTCTGATACCATTTGTAGCAGCCCAGATCCACCACTAGCAGATAGCTTTCCATTTCGGGCTTCCCCTCAAGGCTTTAAAACGCGTATGCTAGGGAAAGGTTTCCATCCCCTATAAATGGTGTTTTGTTCTCTTCCCCAACCAATGTGGGACATCACAGTTTTAGTAGTACATAACAAAAAACGAGTATTAATAACTCGCTAACAAATCAACTTATGCCTGGGTTGAGGTGGCTTCTTTATTTGTAGCGTATGTAGTTGTATCAAATATCAAGACGCTTCAGATGATTAATGATGAAGGCACGTTTTAAGCTTCAGTATCGAGCAAATTCTCTGCAAATTCTTGTGGGTTCATTTGGTTAATATCAAATGGGTAAGGTGTGTTATCTTCTAGAAATTCTCGTAATTTGATTGCTCAAAGTTCCTTCATCTATCTCGTTATCTTCCTCTATTTGTTTTCGAAGGACTCATTCGAGTTCATTGAACCTATCGTAATTTTTAACGACATTGACAAATGCTTCTAGAAACGTTGCCTTAAAATTTAATATTCTGTCTAATCTTCCTCTAACTTGTACCGTTAGCTCGGACATCTACTTAAGATGCTTTCCAAAAGGTTCTTCAAAAAGTCGCATCTATCGGCTCAACATCTTCTCCTTCTACCGTAGAAGAAGATGAAGACATTATATACGACCTCAAAGATCAATATTTGGATTCTCAACCTCCAAGCTTATAGCAACCTCGACATCCGACCGAAATTGTTGTAAAACTATCCAATATAGAAACGGAAATCGAAAACATTTCCCTTCATCACAAATTTGTCCAATTAAACAGTCTTTTGCAAATTATCTAGATAATAACTCATCAAGAGACTGAATAATCGTTAAAGTACTTAAAAAAAATGATGTGATGTAAATAAAAGTGATGTAAATAAAGATGATATAAATAAACATTAAAAATTATATATATATATATAAAAAAAAGATGATGCGATGTAAATAAAGGCGATGAAAAGAAAAAAAAAATTCGCATATTTAGTATTTTTACCTCGGAGTGTCTATAAAAAATTAATTTTTTTTTAAAAGAAGCATTTATATTATTTTAAAATGAAACTTTATAATTTTATTATTCATTAAACTACACATCTTTACATATATTAAAACAAAAAATTTCGAAGGTTCTTTTTAATATAATTAAGAATAAAAAATATGATTAACTTTGACATAATTTTAAAATATTACTATTTTATATATAAATATATTTAAAATTCCCGCTCCCAACACAGCTTCAGCAACCCGAAGAGCACTTGGAAGTTCAATTCCGTCTCTCTATCTGTAGCGTTTTGCTCCATCTAATCAGGTACGTTGAATCCCTTTGATTCTTGTGTATGTTCGGTTCTTTTTTGCTGGTTCGTGGATGGTTTGCAGAGCGTTATGTAGAGGTTGAAAAATGGAGGAAATGTAGTGGTATTTACTTGCCTTTTTCTTAGGTTTTTGTTATTTCTGGGGTTGAAGTGCTGGTGAGTTGGCATTTTGCTGGTTGGGATCAGGATAGCATGGTGTTAGATTTTGGATTGATGGATGCTTATGTAATTATTGGAATTTGCTTTGTTTTTGTTTTTATTTTGGGTTTGGGTTTGAACTTTGTTGGTTGAGAGAGAGAGAGAGAGAGAGAGAGAGAGAGCTATGTTGGCTCGAATTCAAAATGAGAAGAAGCTTGCTTGCAAAGATTCTTTGATACCTTTTCAAACGAATTCAAAATGGTCTAGCCAAAGAAGAGGCTTGCTTGCAAAGATTCTTTGATACATTTTCAAACACAACTTATAGTAAACTGTTGAGGGTGCTAAAAGCCGGTGTCTTGAGACAAGAAAACTCAAAAAAATGTTGCCAAACACACCGACAAAAGTGACAAAACAAAACATCTAATTTCTTTCCCTTTAACAGAAGATGGAAAAAGATGATCCATTGAAGGCTTGAGGAAACCCATAGGCTAAACCTTAAAATAAGTAAGCAAAAGTTTACACTCCATTAAGCTATATATATGCTGATCCAAAAAACTGCTAGGAATACGAGAATTGCTTCCAATAGTGGGCCAACTGGATGAACCAAGAAGACCTGATAGCACCTTACTCCAAAAGATAGAGAGAGTCGTAATATATCTTCAAAATCATGTGGCAATGAGTGTGAAGTTGCTGGCTGAATTGAAAAGATACTCAGACAGATGAAAATAGGACACCTAATATAAGCATCTTTTGGAGCAAACAGTACAACTTCTTGAATACCACGGAATGTTCATCATTAAGAAACCAAGAAGAGAGAATGATCATAGCCAAAACCCCTATATTAGACCATTACCCTGACGTTTGCATCTCATGTAGAATTATTTCATGAACTTGAAGACCACTAAGTTTAAGAAAGGGAGAAAATTTCCTTTTTTCCCGAAGAAAGATCATTATTGTTATTAGGGCTTTTTGAAACCCCATACCAGAAATATGTTGCTTTGCTGAAGCGTTAATCAATTTTTCCTTTTTGAATAAGGAACCAAGAGGCTTAAAACAAATCCTCAATAATATCTTCATTTTGCAAATGGTTGGTTTAATTTATTCGCAGTGTTCAAGATGCATGGGGTGTTTTTGTCAATTTTGATAGAAAATGTACTTCAGCTTCTCATAGGGCCTTCTTTGTCTTCGAAGCCCTCCCTTATTTGGTCCAATGCGATCAAAACCCTTATTTTAGAACTTTGGATGGAATGGAATCTTCGACAGCAAGTGTGTCCCATGGTTCGGGCATTTTGATTCAGCTTGCAGGAAAGCTTCATCCTGGGCTTCTCTTTTCAAGACTTCTGCTGTTTTTTCTCTTAATGATTTACTGACATTGAGATTTTTTTTTCGTTTTATCTTCCATTACTCTTTGTGTTTTTGTGTTACTTTTTTCACTCCCTTGTGGAGTTTGTATGTGGAGCATTAGTCTCTTTTCCTTCTCTTAATAAAAACTTTCGTTTCTTGTTAAATAAAAAACCCAGCTCTTTGATAATGAAGGTCCAGCTGCTGTTATAAGAAAAAGGGCAATGTATGAACAAGCGATCAGTTTATATCAATCAGTCTTCTAGGGTAATTCTTAACTAAGGAAGGCCGGGTTTGTTGAAAAACTCCTGGTCATATGATAAAAGTTATACAATTGACAGTGAAATAGTGGATGACTGGAAAAATAAGGAAAAACTAAAGGGTTGATGCTTTAAATTGGCTCAGTAAAGGCATTATTTAGAAATAGGGCTCTTGAACAAAGTGGAATTGGCGTAACATTTTTCTGTAACGAAGTTAGTTATTTGTTGTCTTTGTTTGGAAGAATATATTCTGTGTTTTGCGTCTCTTCTTATACATGATTTTCTTTTCTTGCAGATGAAAAGACTCATGGAATCGGATGCTGCAATGACAGAAGACTTAATTGCTTATAATATTATTCCATTAGATGCTCCTTCTACGACAAATGCTATTGGGTCCATGGCTGAGGTCTTTTAGATTACAATTTTCTTGTTTAGAGATGTGAAAGTTTATCCATTTCTTCAGTTATTTACCTTGAAACTGAACTTTATGTTTAGGTGCAAGCAGCAGTGTCAGCTTTAAAATATTTCAGTGGCCTTCCAAAGTTGCCTCCAGAATTTTGTTTTCCGGAGACTAGGAGTCCTGATATACTTGACTTTCTACACTTCATTTTTGGATTTCAGGTTTGGACTTCTATGTTGGTGGTTGTATACAACTCAATCCCGTCCCCTGTTTGTATAGTTTGTTACTGGGTTTCTATGTTTTAATACTTGTAATATATGTATTTCCGATTATTTAGGAGTTATATTAATGGATTTGACTATCAACGTGTGATTCTAGTTTTCATTCCTCACCTTATGTGTTGATCAGGGTTTTAAAATAAGGTTGAGTGTTCTCCTAAGGGTTTTTGTTTTGTTTTGTTTTGTAAGGTTCTAATTGGGAATCGGGTTTAAAAGTCTCTTTCTTCTTCTTGTAAGAAACTCATTTACTTTTGTCACGTTGAATTTTAATTCCATGGTTCTGAGTCTAGTTGCTTTTTCATTTTTGTATTGGGATGGATTTATGTTTATTTACCCTGTTTTAGTCTATTGGTCATTTTTAGTTATCATAGTTTTTTTTTTTTAGATTTTTAATTTGATTTGTCCAACATTGAAATTGGATGGCTTGGTTATTTCTTTAAGAATTTCAATTTATATTGTCTAATGTTGAATTTTGTGGTCTTCAGAAAGACAATGTGTCCAATCAGCGTGAACATGTAGTGCACCTACTTGCCAACGAACAGTCTCGCCTTTGTATTCCTGAAGAAAATGAACCTGTAAGTCCTTTATTCTCATCATTGAACATTGATGGACAGTTTTGTTTACTTTCAATCATTAACAATTGGAGCTGTTTGCGTTTGCTTTGGTTGGTGATTTGAGCCATTACCTTTCAATGAGATCATTTTATGTGAGATTATTTCTATCCTAAAATAATTGTTGTTGTAGTTGACTAATTATATATTATGTTGATTGGGTACTTGATATCTAATTTGTGGTTTGTTTTTGCTTTGTCAATGCGAAAGCTTGATGAATGAGGTTTTCGATGAAATAAGAACTTCACATTCCTTTCGTATGAGCTCGAATTTTAAGCAACATGAGGAAATGACATACATACAATGGGTATACGCTTATGTTTGAATCTGGGAGCTTATAGGCTTACTATTGTGATTTAAAAGTTCCTTTCCAAGGGGATGTATTAAGGTTTGTAACTTACGAATGAGTATAGGGACTTTTCAAAGGATTGACAAACATTTGGAGGGTATTTAGAGATTGCCAAGAAAATCCTCTCAAGGATTTATTTGATGGAGGTATGCATCAAGATCAAAAAGTGATATTGGGTTCATCTCACAAATATTCAACAAACAGTCAACTCTTGTTGCTGTTAGCTTCGCCAATAATGTGTATTTTAATTCCTGTGGAGGGTTTTATTTATTTGATATTTGGTTGGAATCCATGACCCCATTCTAGACAATGTATCAGCTTGGATCATGACTTTTCTCCTCCGTCACCCTAAAACCCTAACCCTTCCTACCAGCTGCAGTTGTTTGTTGTTGTTGCCGGTTGGTTTTTCAACTGTTTTGATTGCTATTTGCTGATTTTTTTTCCTTTCCCCTTTTCTTCTCTCTCGCATCGTTCAACAACTCTTGGGCCTGAAACCCTTCCCCTCCCTCATCCTAAAGCCAGAACCCTCCTCGTCAGCCGTTGTCCCTTGCCAAGCTAACCAGTGAATGGCGACAAGGAGGAGAAGTATTGTTATATTGTAGCTTATCCCTAGTACTACATTAGAAGAAAGGTGCATCACTCTTCAATTCATTCAACCCTCAAGGATTATACATGGAATCCAAATTGTATTGAATAAAATGTTTCTAGTATTTTTGCTCAATCGATCAAGAGAGCTATTTCTCAGAATTGTAGTCAACAAAAATTTGCTGTATTAGATTATGATGGTGTTTAACTGTGAGAGTATTTCATTCAATCCATAAGCTAAGAATGGTCAATCCAGGCCTGGAGGTTTTGTGGCTAAGTTCTTCCAAAAAAATCATGGAATATCCTTATGGAAGACATCAAGAGGGTATTCAATGATTTTTCTTTGTTTCTTTGTTTATTTATCTACTTTATAGGAATCCATCATAAATGCTAGCTTGAGGAAAGTTGATGCAAAGACATTAGGGTACAGGGAATGTAGACCTGTTAGTATTAACTCTTCATATGTATAAGTTCATAGCTAGAGAGTTAGAGCATTTGTAGAAGTTCTTTGTCTACTATCAGAGAATTCCAATCAACTTTTGTGGCTGATCGCCTAATGCTTGATGTTTTTTCTCATTGCTAATGAACTTATGGATGAAGATATATCCTAGTAGGCCCGAATGGAAAAGTTGGATCTCAGGTTGTTTATCATCCACATAATTACTAATGAAAAGGATAGGGAAAAAACCTTGGCATCGAGTAGCCTTCAACAAGGTGACTCATTGTCTGCCTTTGTTTTCATCCTAGTGGTGGATTGTCTTAAGAGAAATGTTGACTATTGGCATCAAGGGGAACTGATCGATGACTTTGAAGTTGGTGAAGGCCCAAATTCTCTGTCCATGAACTTCCTTCATCAAGGTGACACTTTGTCTCCCTTTATTTTCATTCTGTTGGTTTATTGTCCAAGTAGAATGCTCGCTATCTGGGCATCAAGTTTTTTAAGAGTAGGAATATTTTACATTTTAACTCAATGAAACATTTCTTGGGGGAAAATGGATATCAGTTGATGCCATTTTGAGGAGTTGAGAAGATTCTGACGCAAATTGGTGACCAGTTGTTTGATTTTCAAGTTGTATCCAGAGAACGTTGGAGTTCATCACCCAAAAAAGGGTGGAAGAAGAAATATCACGACCAAAGAGGCAAACATTAGATGAAGAGACGGTGATGCAAGTACGATAATGGATTAGATAGAAATAAGGGAATGGGGCAAGTGATCGACGTAGATTGACTCACCACACCTCTCTATGAGTCTTTGACGATTGATGTGTTCCATCCACACTGGCTGTCACCTGTGTGCTTGCCATGCTGTTGCTATCCTTCAAAATAAAAGGCTCCTTAGCTCATTTTTAAAGTACTGGCATAATGTGCAAATGCGACCAAGAGGATGGAATGTGGCCGCACTTGCACATGAGTTGGTGGCACGTTGTACCACCTTGTGGTAGGGAATGACCAAGTTTGACCATTGATTTACCACATTATAGTACAAGCTCGGTAGATCGTTACTGTTAAATGACAATAGTTTATCAAGCCCAGTCAATATTAGACAAACAACCTTCACCTCCCTACATGTTTATCATCTTAAGCACTTTGAGTTTTATTCCAAACACTCAAAATCACTCAAAACATGATTTTAGTTGAGCGTTAAAACATTCTCATCAACCATATATTAAGGATAGATCTTAACTCATTAGTTACAATAATGAGTGCTTGATTCACTAGATTGAATCCCATTGGATGTTCATCAAAATCATGTTGGATGTCAATGTTAGAGGTTTGAGTAAGGAACATAAAAGATCTTTGCTACAAAAAGTTCTTCCATTTGGCATTGATAAGAAAAGAATTATAGCAATCAAAGATTTTATCAAAGATACAGGCTTTACGCCAAGCAATCTTTCAAATCTTTCCCTTCTTTCCAACCCTCAAAAAAAAAAAAAAAAAAAAAAAAAAAAAAAAAAAAAAAAAAAAAAAAAAAAAA